ATTTCGCCCCTATAAACAATGATTGAAATATTTTTATATGGACCAAAATACTTAACAACGCCAGCAAAAAAAATCTAAAAATGAATGCGAGTTTTAAAATAATTCAAACTTGCTTTTAACACATTACAATGAAATTGAATGAGTTATATAAAACTGCATACTTCGATTTTTTTAGTTCTGATTAAAAAATTGTATATTTTGAGGCAATTTTTAAATTTGTAGATTTTTTCTAATAGTCGTGCAAAGGTTTAAATTTGTATTTATACGGTTGCCGCTATATAACGAGTTATACTTTTATAAAAAATTAATGAACATTATACCAACAAAAGAAAAGTAGTCAAATGCCGCACTATTATCATTTTGACCATAGGTATACTTGTACATTTGTGGTTTAAGATCCAACCTACTCAAAATGAGGGTTCCAACATTAAGCCAACATTTTGAGTATCAATTCAAAATTCTGAGTATGCTGTTTTTGTCTACTCGACTAGGCTCACGTCTTGTCCAAACCTTGCGTTGATTTTAAATTTTTTTGTTTGGTTAGGGTATTACGCATTTTCTTCCATATAAAAAAAATCTCACATACGTTGTATGGAACAAAATACGTAAAAATTGCCAAAAATCAACTTAAAGTTTAAAAGTTATTTTTAAAAAATTTTAAATTTAGATGAAACTTTGCAGCATTTTCATAAATTTTGCACAAAGTATGAAGTCTGGAGTTATATGGTTAAAAAGAAAAATAAACATTAAATAAACAAAAGAAAAATAGCCAAAACTTGCTAAAATGTCGCGCCCCAATTTAGTTTTCCACCACTATACATGTAGATATTTGAATTTGATCTCGGTAACAAAGCATTTTATTTATATATAATAGATTTGTAATATTTTTTGCACTATTTGTATCCTTTAGCATACAAAAATTGAACCATTTGAACCGAACCGAACCGCAGTTCAGAGATACTCTTGAATCGGTTCTTGTACCGGTACAAGTTTTTTCTAAGTGGTTCGAACCACTGAACCGAACCGCACCGATTTTTGGAGTGGTTTGCAACCCTGCTCAATATATACATACATTCATTTTTATATGTAAGGTCGCACAACTTGCGTTTTCCAGTAGTTTTTTTTTGTTTGCAGTTGAGTTCCGCGCACTCGACCACACACACAAAAGTGAGGTTATATCTGTAGTCATAAGCAATAACCGCCTAAGTCGACTTAAGAAAGAATTGAGTTATATATGCTATCGTTTTCTGCAACTACTATTCCACGTATATGTGAAACTCCCATCTAGTTACCTAGGCTATTTAAAAAAGTTATAGATGAAAATATTTTGGTTTCCCCATAATGTTTACATTACAATCCAAGTCTTTAAAGCGTTTTTTCTCGAATTCAGGTTTTTCGATTTAGGCGATTATTGCTTATGACCATAGATATATGTACAAATGTCATCTAACCATAGGCAAACCAATTACGCACCGTTATTCCTAGTAAGTATCTCAATGCATTTACATAATTAGTTTGATACGTTTTTATAACACTCAGTAGGTGGCAAAAGATTCGCCAAAATTGTGACACCATATTTGGCTTCGTATGCGGTAGAGCAAGGGTTCCCAAACTTTTAAGATAATGGGACCCTTACTAAAAACTTTTCATTTTATGGAACCCCACATCAAATTACTAAAAATCAAAAGCACTGCAATTTAAACCTGAATAACTGTTTTAGTAGTATAGTACAGGGGTTCTTAAACTTTTAAAATGATGGAACCCTTACTAAACAATTTTAATTTTACGGAACCCCACACCAAATTACTAAAAATCAAAGGCAGTGCAATTTAAATATGAATAAAAGCTTTTACTAGAAATAGTAAACATACTTTAAATTTTAATGTAAAGAATAAAATTGTTTCGCTGTTATTAATTATTGTATAAAATAGTAGTTCGATATAATGTCTGAAAGCTGTATGCGCATTTCCGGGGTAGCATCCAATTTCGACCTGAATTACGTTGTGACAGCATAAGATGGCCTTTTTAGCGACTTAATGATATTTACTCCTAACAGTGACCCAAAACTCTTTCAGAGACCCAAGTGTGGGTTTTGTACCAAACCTATATTACTACTACCATCCGAAAAATAATCTGACAAATATTTCAGGTGATTTACCAAGTATCCAGTAATGACATTTCACATTTCATTTGGCAATTCATCGCGTTCCTTGTAGAGCTGCAAAACTATCGATGGTTGGACCATTCGATATTTTCGATAGTTTTGGGCATCACCATTCGATAGTATTCGGTAGTAGTAGTAGTAGAAATGTTAGTTTTAAACACCATTTTGGTGTGCTTTATTAAAAATAACAAATACGTTATTTTAAGCAACAAAAACAACACGTTGCAAGTCTAAGTTTTAGACAATTCACAAAAACGAAAATTCGAGTTTTTCGAGTAATCAAAATTTCGTTAGGTTTCTTAGAAAATTTTTGAGTATGTACTTTTGTAGTTTGAAGAAGCTAGGTCTCACTGTTAATTTTTGCCAATTATTTATATTTGAAGGTTTCCGATAGTATCGCGATTGTGGCTACCATTCATCGATAGTGGTGTCAAATTGAAACTATTGATACTATCGATAGTGCCATCGATAGTTTCGCAGCTCTGGTTCCTTGTAGAAAGTTGTATGTAACCCTTTGGCTACAGCGGCCAACAACACATACCGGTTAGAAAAAAACAAGCTTGGCAAGCGCAAGCTCAACGCTCTTCTGTAGGTATGGCACTCAGTACGGCAATTATACCAACTACGAGTACATATGTATACTTGAAAATAGATAATTGCGTCTCGGTCAAACTGTTTATAGAACTTCTCTTTCTGTGTGCAACTCAAACCGACCGCCGTGCTTATTCATACCAAAACTAATTTCGCGGAACCCCGGTGACTTGTCTACGGAACCCTTGGGTTCCGCGGAACACACTTTAAGAAGCTCTGGTATAGTATGCATACTGGCTGCGTTTCTTTATTCATTCCAGATAATCCCATTTCACAGCCAGAATAAACAGAAAGCGTTTGAAATATACGTTAACGTATCATCAGGAACGCTCTAAAGAATAAGTAAACAAAAAAGTTTATTCCAAACGTTCAGAATGAATAAAGAAATGCAGCCACTGTAAATTTTAATGAGAAGAATGAAATTGTTTCACTGTTATTAAATATTGCTTTATTGTTCGAAATTATGTCCGACAGCTGTATGCGCATTTCTGGGGTAGCATCCAATTTCGACCAGAATTTGTTTTTTTATATAAGTTTAAGCTGAAACCCCTGTTTCACAATAAGTTGTGACAGAAGGAAGCAAAGTTAAGATAGCCCACTTAGCTACTTCATGGTATTCAACATATATGAGGCTGCAGAAAATAATCGTCTTTGTTCACATTGTTCAGTTTTTTTTTACACAGGGAATAAAGAAAAAAGCTAAACTTCGGATTATTAAGTGAGCTGGATCCCGTTATCCCTTGTAAAATTTTTATTTATGAATGGACCTTTCTTTTGTAGTTTTAAATATTACAGTAAAACTCTCTATCTATTCAAAGACCGCCAGATATTTTAACAGGTGTCGAAGGTCGATGCACAATTGTTTTCAACTTTGAGGTTTCAAGAAAACACAATGCAAAACAGTTGTAAAAGTTGTACAGATGAATTAGGCCCATGAATTTTATGGTATTTTCGCTTTTTAAAAGCCTGCGCTACGAAAGAGGCCGGCTAAATGGAATTAAAGCTGACATAGAAGTCATCACTGTTTACATTACGCCTATTTGGGACTTTAATACGAAGATAGATTAGGTTCCCGACTAGAGAAGAATGGGATGCAGGGCTACCAGCAGCAGAGGGATCTTTATCCATCTACACTGACGGTTCAAAGATGGAACAAGGAACCGGATCCGGTGTCTACTCGAAGGACCTGCAGATCAACCGGTCCTTTCGCCTAGCGAACGACTGCAGTGTCTTCCAAGCGGAGATCTGCGCTATAGAGATGACGAAAGCCTATATTTTTTTCGACAGTCAGGCAGCACTGAAGGCAATAGGATCTAGAATAGTGAAATCGGGAATTGTATAGAAATGTCTCACCACGCTGGCGTCACTGAGCCGTATCAACGTCACTCTATGCTGGGTTCCCGGACATAGCAATATTGAACGGAATGAATCGGCTGATGAGATGGCTAGATGCGGCTCAGAGATGCCAATAGAAGAAGCGGATAGATTCGTACTACCACCGTTTACAGATCACTTTATGAAAATTAATGAGTACACCGTGGCCGTGACGAATGACTTGTGGAACAAACGGGAAGACTGTGAGACCACAAGATTATTATGGCCGCGGCTGAGTAGGAAAAAGACAAGGGACATATTGAAACTTACTCGATCCGCAGTAAGAGTCCTTACCGGCGTCATCACAGGACACTGTGCTATAGCATCAATGCTGCAACGGTGCGAATACCAACGAGATGAGGAAGAGTGTCAATTGACCCCTATCTGTATCGATGTCCACGTCCACACACGAAGCGACTCAAGCACTTGGGTTCACGCTTCTTCAACAGACAGGCGAAGTAGCATAGGTGGAACTGTTGGATCTCTCGGCTTTATTAGGGATAGTAATCGGTTCAGTAAGGGCCGATTTCATAATGGCTTAAAGCTACTCTTTCGATTTAAGTACGTGTTTCCTCCTGTCACTCACTAAAAGAGGGCACTCACAATGGACAATTCTGTCTCCGAATGAAAGTATTGATTATTCCACACACGCCCTCCTAACCTAACCTAACTAACGATGACTTTTAGATAAACCTTTGTAAAAGCATAAAAAACTTTCCTCGAATAAAGACATTGAAAATACAGAATTTATATTAACAAAGGATAATTTCGTAAGGGAAGGAAAAAACGTTTACTATTTGTTTTAAGAAATGTCGAAGCTTTTGATATTACAAACCTTAAAACTTTTATTGTACTCTTCATTACTTTACAGAAATCTTCACCGAAAAAAGTCTACCCTGAAAATGAGAAATTGTCACAACGTGAAAAGCTCATACGTGACATTGAGACACGTCGTTTGGAATGTTTGGTTTGCGTAGAGCCCATCAAAGCACACCATGCCGTTTGGTCCTGCAACAATTGTTATCACATACTTCATTTACAATGTATCATCAAATGGGCTTCATCATCCAAATCAGAGGACGGTTGGCGTTGTCCTGCATGTCAGAATGTCGTGAAGGAGGTGCCACGCGACTACTATTGCTTCTGCGGCAAGGTAAAGAATCCACCCTATACTCGTCACGATATCGCACACTCCTGTGGGGACACCTGCCGTCGTGTCGAAGGTTGCATACATGCTTGTACCCTCCTTTGTCATCCCGGTCCATGCCCACCATGTCAGGCCTATGTGAAACGCGAATGTGGCTGCGGCAAAACAACCAAGACAATGCAATGCTGCGTGAAAGAAGCCATTGAGTGCGAATCAATTTGTGGAAAATTATTGAACTGTGAACAGCACAAGTGCCCGGCTAAATGTCACGAAGGTAAGTGTGCGCCATGCGCCGAAAAGGTGGAGCAACAGTGCCACTGCACCAAGCAGGAGCGTCAAGTTGCCTGCACACGCGACTCTCACGATAAGCACAGCTACTCATGCGGCAAGCCGTGTGGCAAAGATTTGGCTTGCGGTAATCACAAGTGTAAGGACTGTTGTCACCCGGGCGAATGTCGCACATGCAAACTTAGTCCGGAAGTGGTTACCTCGTGTCCATGCGGTAAAATGCCAATCGTCGTTGGCCAAAGGCAATCCTGTTTGGATTCTATACCGGTGTGTGAAGGCGTATGCGGTAAGACCCTGCGTTGTGGTAAGCCCGCACATCCTCATCATTGCACTAGCAAATGTCACCTGGGTAATTGCCCACCATGCAACAAACAGACCGCCGTTAAGTGTCGTTGCGGCCATATGGACCAGCTTATCAAGTGTCGTCAGCTGTCGACGCGTGCCGATGATGCACGCTGCAAGAAGCGTTGCGTTAAGAAACGTTCGTGCGGCAAGCACAAATGTAATCAGGAATGCTGCATCGATATCGATCACATCTGTCCGTTGCCATGCAACTATACGCTATCGTGCGGCAAACACAAATGCGACCAACCCTGCCACCGCGGCAACTGTCCGCCTTGCTATCGCTCGTCCTTTGAGGAACTGTACTGTGAATGTGGCGCCGAAGTCATCTATCCCCCAGTGCCCTGTGGCACCAAAAGGCCAGCCTGCAAGCGTCTTTGCTCGCGCTCTCATCCCTGTCAACATCCACCACAGCACAATTGTCACTCTGCATCCAACTGTCCACCATGCATGATGTTCACCACAAAGTGGTGTTTCGGTAAGCATGAACAGCGCAAAACCATTCCATGCTCGCAAGAGAGTTTCAGCTGTGGCTTGGCATGCGGCAAGGCACTACCTTGTGGGCGTCACAAGTGCATCAAAACCTGCCACGAGGGTGCATGTCAGACGCCTGGCGAGGTGTGCAAACAACATTGCCCCAAGTTGCGCTCCACATGCGGCCACAAGTGCATGTCGCCATGTCATGATGGCGATTGCCCGGATACACCGTGCAAGGAAATGGTGAGTCAAGTTAATGAGACCGTGTTTAAGTTTCATGATATAATTTTTTGATTTATACATATAGGTCGAAGTACAATGCGAGTGCGGCAACCGTAAACAGATGCGTTTGTGCCACGACTTGGCACGTGAATTCAGTCGCATTGCCACTGCCCAGTTGGCCTCTTCAATGGCCGAAATGCAACGCGGCAACTACATGGAACTAAGCGAAATTCTCGCCCCCGTTAAAATAAATAAAACAAATAAAACGTAAGTAAATTAAAATCACTTAGGCGATATGAGCGCCAATAAAGATGAAGAAATTAAAATATAAATCAATCTGTTAGAAAATGTTAATAGCAGTGAGGAAATGCAGGTTTTTAGGAAAAGGTATAATATACAAGAAATTAATATCATTTGAATTGATAGTATTTGATATAATATTATTCTTCAAAACATAGGAAATTTAAACTATTTATAGCTGATAAAATACTCCTTACTCCTTATATGCATGTATTTTTTTCACTGTCAGCTTGGATTGTAACGAAGAATGCCGTTTGCTCGAACGCAATCGTCGCCTGGCTATAGGGCTACAAATCCGCAATCCCGATGTGCCGCAAAAACTACAAACCAAATATTCTGATTTTATACGCAATTTTGCTAAACGTGACCCCACTTTGGTAAAATCCATACATGATGCTCTAACCAATTTGGTAAAGCTCGCTAAGGAGAGCAAGCAGAAATCACGTAGTCACTCTTTCCCAACAATGAATCGCGAAAAAAGGCAGCTGGTGCATGAAATGTGCGAAATGTTTGGTGTGGAGTCGGTTGCCTACGATGCAGAGCCGAATCGTAACGTGGTAGCTACAGCCTACAAGGATCGGGTGAGCTGGAAACATATGCGGCACACAAATATATGCCAATATCACAACGGAATTTTAAATTTATCTTATGTTTTAATTTCAGTCCTGGTTGCCTGCTACCAGCATCATGGAGGTTGTGCAGCGCGAGTCTGGTCAGCGTCGTGTGCCTGTGCCGAGTAACAATGCTTGGGGAATGAAGAGATAGAACTTTTTCCTATTAACAATTGGATGGTGAATGCGAATACAACATGAAATTGTATCGTTGAATAGATCGTTTGAATGTATGCCGTGTTACACTAGACAAACAAACAAAAAAAAAAAACAGAAACTAGAGAACCAGGAGAAACGAGTAACATTAATCCAAAACCATCAAAACAAAAATATTCAATTCTAATATTACAACTTATAAATTCAAAAATATTGCATAATAATATAAAAAATAATAATATTAAAATTAACTAAAGTTTAGCCAAAAATCAAAATTACAAAATTGTCATTTCTCCTAATTGGCTTGTGTTATTTTTTCTAAACAATTTTTTGTATTGCTACCAGTGTCTTCTATTTCCTCTGCTATTGACAACTCATGGCCACTACCACTTCATTACTCCAAGTTCTGCGCACTTTAAATTGATTGTCTTTATAATAGTTTGCTTTTTACCTCCCTTTTATTAGCTCGGGATGTAACTATGTAATATTGATGCGCCTAAAAGATGCAGCGATTTCTATTCTCAAGTTACATCCTGATGACAATACGAATGGGAATTATAATAGCGAGGTTTTAGTTTTTTAAACTACAATTTTTTTTATTTACATCCAATTCTTTATATGGCTGAATATGAATTTGAAAATACTTATTTTTATTTACAAGACAATACTGCAACATTACAAAATACATACATACATACATACATACATATATATTACATAAAATACGGTGGAAGTAGAATGTGAGTATAAAAAAATTTAATTCTTCAGCGAAATACATACATACTTGTGAATGATTTGTACACAAAACAAAACAAAAAGAAACAAATGAGTAAATTGTGAATGAATCAGCCGTATGAATCATAAATATATTCCTGAATGTAAAGAGAAATCAAATTGAATAAAGTTGTTTATTAATATGTATGAATTGCGAAAATAATATAAATGTGAGTCTTATTGTTGTAATAAATTCTTTATTAAGGCTCTCAAAAGATTTTCTCCGGGTCGAAGTGGTTGTGCAAATGCGGCCATTCTGGGAACACATTTTTGCGCTATACTCACGGAAGATAGAGTTACTGCAAGGTGAAATTATACCAGGTGTAGTAATGAAACAGCTTTCTGGCTTTATTTTCTTAGTTTTCATGGCATTCGGCTATCTTATAAAAATTTTTTCAAGCAAACTTTCAAATAAGATAGGGTCAAATCTTTCTTCTCGCTCTTATTAGTACACCTGCTCGTATAATTTCATCATAGAAGTACTGCCGGTTTCCCGAAAGCAATTTAAGAGAAAAATTTTTTTCTTTTCTGTCAGTTTCCATATTAAATTCAAATAAAAAATAATTTTTCACATAAATTGCTTTCGTGAAACTGGCTATTTGAGTTTATTTGATGGGAAGTTCCATCGTCTGGCACCGGTGTTTGCTGGGAAAGAGCTATGGTGTTCACCCTCCGACATCGAAAGCCTAAGACCGGGGGCTGTAGCGCAGAGATATCCAGACAATGTACGGTAAAATCTTAAATCATGAATTAAAGTAGATTAGATTAATTGTATCGTATCAATTTATAATAGGGGGTTTAGTCGCTAGAACTACATATACTTAAGAAAATCAAAAGAAACAGAAAACATGTTACGAAGTCTAAGATGAGCTTTACATACTCGGCGCATGCGTTAAACCTTGAACCTACGTACTGTGAATTTGTTCCAGTTCGTACTCTTGAAGCAATCCTGTATTCTATCCACCCCCTATTATGAATTTGCATACGATAAACGCTTGAAATCGTATCGTATGAAATCAGTATTCGTATTGTCGTTTTCATACGCCCGACAGATGCACTGTGGTAAATGACCGTGTATTTTGTTTACTTTATTTTGTGAATTTGAGAAATTCGAGGACATGTTTACTACAATATCAATTGCGTTTTTTTATAAATTTAAATGAAGGAAGTAATGAGATTCGCATAGAGGCTATCGAAAGAATAAATTTAAGAGATGCTTCGAATCCTCTGGAAATTAATTCTATATTGTAGAGAGCTCATATACATTTAAAGGTTCAATTATTAAGAAGTGCTTTTAGTTTATAGGGAAATTTTCGACTTTCCAAAGAAGCGGTTGTTTATATCCCAAGTGAAGCAGAAAACAAACTGCGTAAACTGAAAAATAAGTCCTCCATACCAAATATAATAAAGGTCTGCGCAGTCTTAAGATTTCTAGCCCAGGGATCATACCAACAGAGAGTTGGTAATGAGGCGTTACTTGGTTTAGCCCAAACTATTGTTTCCATTGTATTGAAAGAAACATGAGTGCTTTGCAAACCACTCGTAATAAGTGGATTAGCTCCACGTACACTGAGGAAGAAAAGAGAAGAGCAAAATCTAGCTTCTTTGGATCAAGTGGTATTCCCAGAGTAATTGGATGCATTGACGGGACCCACATTAAGATTGTGGCACCAGAAAAAAGTTTGCAGCATTTGTATTACTGTCGAAAGGCGTATTTTAGGATAAATGCAATGCTAGTAAGTAGAGAATCCAATCCCGTATAAAAATCGCAATCCGCAAGCTTGCGGGAATTGCGGGACTGAAAAAAAAAAAATATTATTTCCTCTAAACAGTTATATTCAAAATTGATATGTTAAAAAGACGATTTGATATAGAAATCTATATATTTACTAAAGGCCTGCAAATGTTGAACTATAAAACATAGCGACATGTGTCACATCATGCAAGTGCCAGTTCATATTTAGCCTGTTCCAATAGCAGTCCGGTTTACAGGATTTAGTCAGAACTTACAGGAAGTCGTTCCTATTGACATAAAACCTGTAAGTGGGAACACTTTTGAGAGAGTAACTGAGCAACTGTTCGTAGTCAGAAGTTACAGGATTTAGTCCGGAGTTTTTTTCCTGTAAGTTCATGAAAAGTGTCAAACGATCAGCAAAGAACCTTATATTTGTAAAAAAATGGAATTAAACAACGAAATGTTTGAATATATACAGATTTTAATAATAATAATTATTTTTTTTTTGAGTCTAGATTCTAGGCCGGGATACTTAGATCCACACAAAACCGCGGTTGTTCCTCTTGAAAGATTGTTTCGACGATACAAAACGAAGGCCAGCTTAGTGGGTCCAAAACACTAGGCTGATCCAATAGTGTGTTCGAAAGTTGTTAGACGGTATTTTTGTCAAATGCTTAAATTTGCGTAGGCTTTGTCAGTAGTCGTGATCCAGAATTAACAAGTAAGAAAATCTAAGTTCGGGCGGAGCCGAACATTAAATACCCGGCGCAAGTATTAAATATATGTTTTCCACCTTTCCGAAAGCTACCGCTACATGATAAGCCGGGGTGTATAGATTTTAAGTAAATTAGCGTCCTTAAATTTCGAAATATTGAAATTTCAAGCATATTTACCGAAATTTACCGTTATATGAAATGCGGCCTCAATTTTAGTCCGATTTCAACAATTTTCAACGGTTTGCTTTTATGTGGCAAGCACAATAACCATACCGAGCTTGGTGCAAATTGCTAGAACGGTTAGCGAGATACATATATGTAATCACAAGTGGGCGGTGCTACGCCCATTTTCCAAAATTTTATCATAAACGTATTTCTTGGTAAAGAATTGTTGCAATCATCAATTTTGAATAAATTAGCTTCAATATTTACTGATTTATCGAAGATTTTGTATTTCTCGAAATTACCGTTATATGGGATGTGGGCGTGGTTATTGTCCGATTTTAGAAATTTTCGGCCAGTTGGTATGCTGTACCAGGACCAACAACTGTGCCAAGTTTGGAAGAAGTTGGTGCAGCGGTTACCAAGATATACACATGTAACCATAAGTGGGCGTGGCTACGCCCATTTTCCAAAAATTTTTTAATATTCATGTTTTCCGTCTGAAACTGATTGTAAGTATCAATTTTGAGTGGATTATCTTCAGTAGTTACTAAAATATCGCAGTTTTCGTATTTCTTAAAATTACCGTTATATGGGAGGTAGGCGTGGTTATTATCCGATTTCGCCCATTTTCAATACCATCCGTCCCACGCCCAAAAGAAGTTCACGTACCAAGTTTCGTTAAGATATCTCAATTTTTACTCGAGTTATCGTGTGCACAGACGGACGGACGGACGGACGGACAGACAGTCACCGCTTAATCGATTTCTCTTTTCATTCTGATCATTTATGTATACATTTGTCTATATCTATCTCGATTCGTTTTGCCTGTTACAAACAACCGTTATGTGAACAAAGTTATAATACCCTTGTGCACAAGTGCGCTCGGGTATAAAAATCGAGTGGCCAAGTAGCTTGAGGCTTATACGTATTGACGTATATTTTAAAATCGTGGATTATCCGGTTTTGAGCGAAATGGGTTCGGTTTGGAATGTTACAAATACAGAGTTGTACATAAATACATAAATACAAAAGGGGGTTTGTAATTAAAAATTGACGTTGGCTTTTTGTAAACATTTGGAAAGTTGTGGAACCTTGGCAGTGTTGTTTCCATTAAAAATCTCCAAAAGTTTTGTGGTTTTTGAAAATGTCGATATTGTTTCTGATATTTATGAGTCTCCTGCAGTGAAATGTCTGGTGTACGTAACCACCAGCTTGTCCACAGAAACACTTACTACGTTTATACGCACAGAATAATCGACTTAATTGAAAGCGCATTGACACCGTACACATTTCGCTCTAGTGTTTATACTTACGGCTTTATATCGGCATCAAAGTAACCGTCTTCAAAAGCAAACAAAATTAGCTGTTTTCATTTGACATTTTATAAGTTAACATAGTGGAAAACGATAAAAATTTAGTTTTATTCGGCATTATAAAATCGTGGCAAAGAAAAAGAACGATTATTATTAATCAGCTTTTAAATACTGATGCGATTATTTGGAATTTGAGCGGAACAGCTGATCTCCAATTCGCTTTGAGTGAGAGCGGTGTTTATACACTCTTTCTAACTGTCTGGAGAAATAAACTACCGATTTGAAATGGAGTGTGAGCCAAAACACTTCGCTCTTTCAAAGCGAATTGAAATTCAGTTTATACATATGTTTTGAATCGCGGCGAAATGAATTAAAGCGACTTATGCATGCGTATAAACGTAGTAACTGATTTGTACTTAAAACACGAGTTTTACATAGATATGTTCTGTCATAAGTATGACCGGTTAAAATCCTGTTCAGCCGTTTGACCTCAGCAGGGGACAGTAAAAGTTTCCTGACCATGTCCGTTTTTTCCTATTGCCAAAAGTAGAAGCAAAAATATTAGGGTGATCCCTTGAGTATTCCAAAAAGGAGTTATACCAAACGTTGTACATGTCCTCTTTTATCTGCCTGGTGGCTTCGTCCATCGTGAATTTAGTTTCTACTAGGACTATTAATCGTTGCATCTTTGGCAATTTGGTCAGCTTTCTCATTACCTAGTATACCTTTATGGCTAGGCGTCCATACAATGTCTATTAGGAAATTTGCTTCAGATATCTTTCTGAAAATCCCACAGGCAATACTATTTGTGGTTTTGGGTTGTTTGAGTATCTGACAAGAACTTAGACTGTCAGTGAATATGGCCAGTTTGCGATAACTCTTCCTTTTTGCTATTTCAATCGCTTCGTCTATGGCAAGGAGCTTACCAAAGGATGATGAAGTCTTAATAGGGATATGAAATGCATGTTCAGACTTGTCAGAGAAGTCGAAGATGCCACAGCCAGTTGTTTGATCCGCTAAAGACGCATCGGTGTACATGATCTGATAATCATCCGCCAAATAGTTATTCAAAAGCTTTGCATAGTGTGCTTTAAGACACTCAGACGTTAAGGAGGCTTTATTGCCTGTAAAGGTTTTCAGAAAGATTTTAATATTAGGAGGCGAGGAACAGCAGTCAATTGCATCAAGACGGTCAAAAATGTGTTGATACTGTCGGTA